CCACAAGAAATGCACAACATTTTTATCTTGCTCTTGAAGGAGCTCAAGTCAGCCCACACGACATCAGCATCCACTCTATTAAAGAAACTAAATCTTCTGTTAACATCACCATATCTCAAAATTCACATGACTGGACCGTTTGGAATGAAGGTCATATATTAATGAGAGAAACCGCTTGATCATTGAATCGGTGCTCCATTTGTTCAACCATAGTCTCAATAATATTTGAACGTTTTTTGAAGGTTTGACTTTCTGGTTTATTTTCAAGAATCAGCCGCACACTAGAAGCCTTCGTTTTGAGATCTACAACAGCTATATCAATAGAGTTTTCTTTACTTAAATGGACACACTAAGTCCCTATATCCGTGTTGTTGTTTTTTGCAGAAGTTTGCTGATATTAGATGCTGCACATAAAGCCTCATCCAAAAACGTTAGGGTATCAAGAAAACTATATTTCTCCATTTCCAATAAGATACCTCCTGCTAACGATGGTAAATCTGCACCATCTTTGTGTAGGTGTTCACAAGCCATCACAATCGAGCAGTAACAAGTTAAGACGAAATGAGCAGATTTGCAATTATTGGGCCAGCGTATTTCGACTGATTCTGGAATTTTTAGTTCAGGTTCTTCTAATGACCTCTGAACCTCGTGAAACACGTGTCGATGCTTTGATGACTTGTAGAATAGTGAATAGATTTTATTTCTAGCGCTTGTTAAGGCTAAAGATAAAATATTTTGTTTTGGTTTGTTTGTTTTGAATTTCGCGCAAAGCTACATGAGGGCTATCTGCGCTAGCCGTCCCTAATTTAGCAGTGACAGACTCGAGGGAAGGCAGCCAGTCATCACCACCCACCGCCAGCTCTTGAACTAGTCATTTACCAACGAATAGTGGGATTGATCGTCACATTATAACGCCCACACGATGAGGATGTTTGGTGGGACGGGGATTCGAACCCACGACCCTCAGATTGCGAGTCGAGTTCCCAAACCACCTGGCCATGCCGGGCCGAAAAGATAAAAGATGGATCCTTTTTTGTACATAAGGAATTTCTTTTCGTGTTTTCATCAGAAAGTCGCTTAAACACAGCACTTATTTTTTCTGAAAAATTGGCGCCACCATCGAAAACACAAGAAAATATTTTCTTGTAATTTAGGTTCCTTTTCATCAGCTTTCTGTCAAGTAAACTCATAATTGTTTCGAAACAATCAGTGCTTGCTAAATCAGTAATGCTCAAAAATGTTTCTTTTACTTCACTGCAGTCATAAAACGAATCAAAATTGACAACTGGCTCACACTGTTGACATCTGACGATTCGTCAGCCATAATAGAGTAATATTTGTTATTCAATTGCGAGGCGTCGCAATCATCTAGAACTTTGGCAATGCAGGTCAACAGATCGCAAGCTGTAGTTGTGCTTACATATATCGCTCTGATTTTCCACCCATTGCTTAAGAGAGTCATCTTGTAGCATAAGAAGGTGATAAATCAAATATTCATACTTCGTAGTATGTGGGATTTTTTCTTTTGCTGAGAAGTAGATGCTTCTCACAAACGCAACCATTGCTTCCCTGTTGCGACTACATTCCTGAGTCGACTGTTCAACAAGTAAAGTATGAACCGATCTATTAAGACCCTTTTCACGAATCTTATGCATTGCTTGAGCATGAGATGCTTGTCGAGCTTCCCAGTATTCCCACTTGCTTTTAGAAAGTTAGCAAACAGAGTTGTTATGTTTTTCAAAAAGTCTAGACAGAATTTACAAAACGCCTATCCAAGGGATGTATGAAATAACAGCCATTCATAATTCATATTTCTCTTCCAATTTCTTCTGGTAATTAACCGAAGTATATGAAGAGAGTGTGGAAGTTACAGCAGCAGGGTTGAGGAATCAACATCACTAGTTCCAAGACTCGGCTGGTTCACTTCAGTTTGAGCCAGAGACTTAGCAACAGCACCACTACTCACCACCTGTAGTCTAGGTTTCTGTGTAACTAACTGTAGAATTGATTTAATCACAACGTTAAATAACGCAAAAATAGTTTCCATACAAGCTTATAAAGCATAAATCGCTTTTTTAGAAACATCCACTCGTTTAATAGTGGCTACACACTTCGAGAAATTTGAAGAATGTTTGCTAGTAAGTCTATGTTTAGTTTATACAATGTAACTTTAGTTCTGGGTTCTTTGATAAAAGCCCCTTCTTAACATAGCAAAACGTCATGGAACAACATGGGACCTACTGGTCCATCTTCTCGAAATACACATTAGCTAGCAGTCAAGATCAAACACGCCTTTCTTCGAGAAGACACCAGAATTTTGCCTTATTCCGTTTGTATAATTGTTGGATCTAGGTGTTCGATGAAATAATTATAAATCCTGACTCATTCGTCACGACTTTCATTCGGTGGTTAAAGTTCTCTGTAAAAAAAGAAAGAATAACATCTGTAAAAAAGATAAAAATAATTAAATTATTACAGGGGAAATTTTTTGCACAGAGGGAAATTCCCCCTGTACACCTTTGAATTCAACACTAATAGGAGTAACAACGGATATGAGTATCCTCCTCATTTTGATGTTTCTGCCACCCTTTATTCAGGCACACATGTCAAAATTTGTACTTTAAGCTTTTCAGTATTTTAATTTAATTATATAGCTTTCAATATGCAGCTGATAAAGTTTCTTTTTTGTTTCCTTAAAAGCATTCACGCGCAATAATAAAAAATTGTTTATTCCGTACTTACATTAAGGTATAGCGATTGGATACTAATCGATGTCATTATTAGCAGCAGCTTGTAAAATCAATTAAGCATGAGTACTGATTATACTTTTTTATTAATTACTAGATACTTATAGTTTTATCTTATGTTATGATTGCTAATCTGTTTCCGTCTTCAGGGAAGTCCCTAGAAGGATTATTTCTGTGTTGGTAGTGGGTGGGATTCGATTCTGAGTTTTCTCGATAAAATGTCTCGTGGGGTATCCACTTGACTGGGATATTTCTAATTAACTACCTGAATGTTTTCAATAGAGCTGTACATGTTTTGTTGACATAGATATGCTGAGTGTGTTAACAGTTAAGTAGACGTAAAGATTAGTTTTATTTTTCTCGATCTCCAGCATGAAGCACTAACCATTCGGCTACGTCCTAATCAAATACATAGAATAATATGCAATTGTAGTTTCTTTGCTCTGATTTTAACTATTTTTTAAAGAATTTGCATCGAGGTTACGATTAATTAGTTAAATTCAAAAGTGTCTTAATTAGTCAACTGATTCTGATTGAAACGATATTTCAAGAAGACAGTTGGATTTAGATAAATATTTTGGCATAGTATTTTTAAATATATCATTACAGTATTGATCGTAAAATTTACACTCAATCATTCTTGACCTTGTAATTTGTATATAAGTGGATGGTGATGTTGCGTCAGCGAGTCACGTGACTACTATGACGCAACGTTTCTAGAACTATCAT